GTGAGTTTTTTGCCAAAATAAAAATATAAATGCATTATGCAAACATGTGTGTGCATGTAAATTGAAACAAGGCCGAGTAAAAAAAGATATTTGCAGCTCCATCAATCATATAAAGCAAAATAATAAAGTTGATGATGGCCTACATTTTTAGGGCAGATAGAGTAAAGATGGAGAGCATTAGTAAGGTTCATGTCAAAAGGGTAATGGAGGAGATAAAGATTCTCTCTCCCCACCTCCCTTTAGAAGAAAGAGAAAGCGAAAAGAAATAGTAGATTTAATCTTCATTGGTCGGTCTAGTTGATGGTTTTTTAAACATACATCTCAAAAAGCAAAAGGACCACCACAAAGTTAAAACCGGGTGATTGTTTAAACTTAATGTAGTAGTGTGTTTAATAGATCACCACACCTTCCTACTTTCATGTGAAGTGAAGGTGTTAAAAGGCAATGGTTTTTCAATTTCTGAAAAAAAAAAAAATGATCCAATTTGGAGATTGGTACACCAAAACTGTTAATGTTTCCTTTAGGAGTATCAAATCGACAATCTTGAATTTAGAATTTAAAAAATTTAGTTCAATTTTTTTTCGAATTTCAAATCCAATCTGCCATTTCTTTCCTAACAAGACATAAATTCTCCATATTTGACCAATAGATTGAGACAGTTTTTAAAATCTATAAAAAATTAAATAAATCATTTATTATATCTTTTAATCTAGTGATTAAATATGAGAAGTTCACTACTCTTGTGATGATGGACTGCTGTTAATTACATTTCTCAACTGCCATAATTAAGATATATTTACAATTCTTTGCCTTTGACTTAATTTGTTTGTCTTTTTTTATTATATTATTATTTTTTAAGATTCAGGGTGAATTTATTCTTGGAATTTTGAGGTTATGGCAAACCAATCCAACCGGATGGTCTGAAAGTAAATTGTACATGCATCAGAAGTGATCACACACACACAATTTCCCAATTAATTTTCAAAAAAAATGTCCAATTTTTGTCATGCATGCTTTCTCACTATATATATGTATATACATACATATATATAAACCTAAAATAACCAACAATAAAACACAAAACCAAATGGGCATCAGTTTCACAGTCGTTAGAAAAGCTCTAAGTCTTTTTAGGCAGGTCTTCAACCAATTGAATGGTTCTTGACATTTTGTTATATAAAAACATTCACAGCTAACATATCACATGCTTTGTTATGGTAGAGCCCTGCAAGTGGATGCAAAAAAGGTTTCTTATTTTGAGGTTTGTATCTCTGATTACTAACTGCAAAACAGATAACTTGTGAACAAACAGACATACTACAAACCATGACATTCATGAATTGGCAGAGGTTCTTAGGAAAACCAAAAACATGCTGTAGGAAACCACTTTTTTTGTTTTCTTTAAAAATAATGGTCCCTTGTCTTAAAGTATGGTATGCAATAAATATATCACTCCATTTTTTACTTTCAGAGCCTAATCCAGCCGATAATGTGCCGACGGGGATGTCGGGCCTCCAAGGGGGATGAATTGTGATGACCCTATGGACAAATGTGCCGTCGGCAGGTGCGAGATACTGACAGGCTACCACACTGACGAGTTACGGATGCACAATCCCACATCGTCTGAGGAAGGAAAAGGTGAAGTGTTTATATGTAGGTGTGTCACTTCAATTAGTGCGAGGCCTTTTGGGGTAAAACTCAAGAGCAAAATTATGAGGACTCAGGTTCAAGTGGTGATACTCACACCGAACACTTGCATTGAATTGCCTAACCGAATAATTTTTAATTGGTTATTTATACCAAATACAACTAAGTGGAGGGTTCCACTTCTTTATTTGTTGCATAATTGACCAATTAAAATAGGAGGTCTAGCAATTCACTCTAACTATTCAGTGCAACAAACAAGGAATTGCTAGACCTCTTATTTTAATTTTGCAACAAATAAAATAGGAGGTCTTTCATGCCTGTAATTATATTTTGAAATAATTGCCTAGTTTGATAAAATTAAAGTGCAAATATCATTTTATAAGCAGGGTCAAGTACAGAAAACACCTCTAGTGTATATTTTGTGTAACACTTGCACCCCCTATTTGAAAAAATGTGTTAAAAACGTCCTTATTCTTTTAAAATTGTGGGAAACCACCCCTCAATCAGAAATGTGACAGAAAGTAATATTGTAATACTCATTTTGCCCTTTACTCTTCTGAAAATGCTCAAGGAATGTGTATGTTAATAATCTCATAGTATATGGGTATTATGTACACATTAACTATATTTTACCTACTTTTAAGGATTTTCTCACCTTTTCGGGAAAAAAAATTATCTATATATTTCCGCTAACAATGCATTATCTCTCTTTAAAAAATTGTTGTCACAATTGTCAAATTAATGTACAATATATCATATGAAATGAAAAATTCAATTCCTTTTATAATTACAAATAACAAAAAAATTATTTACAATAAATTTTAATATATCTATCAATTTTCATTAAATATATAATTAAAAAATTAAATTAAAGATACTTATTCATTATATATAAATAATATACATTTAATTTTTTAAACTTTAAAATTTGTAATAAATTTTCAGAGATATATATAATTCTTTACATAACAACAAATGGGGTATTCATTCTTTATTGAAAAAAAAAAAAAAAAAATGAGTATTCAATCACATACTGCTATCGTACTATTCAAATCGCAATAAAATTACGTTCTCAATTAAATCTAACCGTTAAGATCAAAATATTCAAAATAACAATAATTTATAAAAGTGCAAAAAACACTCATATAATATGCTTACAGTGCGTATCACACTCCCATATACTAAATGATCATTTTTGTGGTTTCATAAAATAATGCATTTTTAAATAATATGTAAAATGTGTATATACGGGTAATTTAATCAAATTATAACTTAAATGTGTCAGGAGGGACCTATTTGTACCAAATTGAACTTTAGAGATGTTTTCTGCATATGAGAAGTGTGATAAGTACTGTAAACATACTACTACTATAGAGGTATTTTTTGCACTTGATCCTCAAAAATAGCGATAATTGCTAAAATTTTGACACTAATATGCAAACTTTTATCAATTATTTTGGCACTATATAATTTTTTTTTTTTAAAAAACTATTATTTTATGATCCTACGGACTATATTTTTTAAAATTGAATTACAATATAGTTTAAAAAAATTATTATTTTATGATCCTATGGACTATATTTTTTAAAATTGAATTACAATATAATTATTGATATTTGAATTGAAATCCAACACAATGTAATTACATACCACGCATATTTCATTAACTTGTTGAATAAATTATTTAAAACTATTAATGTAATTCTCAATGGACACTAACATGTACGTAGTAATTGATTTAGACAATAAAAATGTAGCGAAAGCAAAATTGATTTAGACAATAAAAATGAATAAATAATAGACCATACAATGGATGTGAATTGCGCTTTAAAATTTTAAATGCAGTAATAAAAATAAATTAGTACAAAATTAAATGTTTAAAAGAAAAGAAAAGAAAAGAAAGTTAGATAAAGTCTAAAGAGACAGAATAAAGAAAAGAATGAAGAAGGAAAGGCACGGGCAAGGGATGACTGTTAGTGGAGATGTCTGACTTTTCACGTAAGCTCTCTCTCATGGATTAATTTGGGTTAGTGCCACGTCAGGTGGTCCCCACTTTGTGTCAGTGTGGCGTGCCTTTACTCTTTGATTTCTCACTTCCGTTTCAATTTCAACTCCCTTAAACAACGCGTGCATTCCACGCACATGTATTCAAAAACAGCACAGTAGGTAAATAATAAATCTCTGTTTTAAAGATTGTAGCAGCAGATTGGAGTTTGATCAAATTCTGAAATGTATTTTACCAAACAACTGCACAATTCAAGTACTGGTATTGGTATCATTTTTAAATTAGATGGGCTTGATGTATATCACTTTTTCATTAATTTGATAAGTTGATTTGGACTAAATCAATTACGTAGTACATAATTAGAATCAAATATTGGTTATATTATAAAATTTGCTCTTCTTTAACTCATAGAAAGCACTTTAACTTTATGAAAAATCAAACACATTTAGATTGAAATCAAGTTTAATAAAAATTGTCTTGAAATTGCACTCAAAATATATGAATTAAACTCAAATTACACTTTATGGATATCAATAATGAAAGACTTTAACTACAATGAACTTATTCAGCATTTGTATTAATTTTTTTAAACAATTGTGCATAGTGCATGACCTAACACATCTAGATAAGTCCTAAATCAAAAGATAAAGTGGGACTTCCAAAAAAAAACAAAAAAAAAAATCTCCTTGCCAAAAAATAAATAAATAAAGACTTTGAAAATTTTTATTCATAGAATTGAAATGTGCTGTATTTTGGCAACATGAAATCCTCATTTTGAAATCAGAATTTTGGACCTCACTAATTCAAATGTTAAATTAATTCTTCTCTTGTTAACATCTGAAATATTAATATGAATTTTACGTTCTAAAACTTAACGTAACATCCTAATCCTCTTAAAATATAACTTTACTATTTAAAATCAACCAAACAACTAAACAGTAAAAACAGATATTTTTAGTCATTTAATACATGTCTATTGGACCCATACACATGCATAGGTCCCACACACATGCATAAAAAAAAAAAAAAAAAAAAGGGAAGCCAAATACAAATCAGTTTGCTATTTTGCCTTCCCAAATTGCCTTTAAAAATCATTTCCGTCCGGAAAATATACTTGGACACTGGGTCATGTAGCATGCTTGCTTGGCTGGAATGAGCCAAACGTTGTTGATCCTAGACGCGCCTTTCAAGAGCGTGGTGGTTGTAGTTTGGTTATCTCTATCATCATTTCGACCGGAGGTGCACGGCTAGCAAAATAGTAACTGCCGGCCAAAACACACTCCCTCTCATAGTCCCTACTTTCTCTCTCTATATCTATATATGTATATATGTATTAATTATATCTCTCTCTACTTTTTGCCTGTTCTCGCAATTAATGCACCTTCTTCCTTCCAATAAATAACTCTCTCTCTCTAGAATCTAACCTCTTTCTTACTCTCATCTCAATTTTACAACTCCAAAGAAACCAATGGTGTAGGTACGCCTCTTTGTCGCTCTCTTTTTCTCATCTGATTCTATGTTTCGAAATTGTTCTTCATTTGAAAATTTGAATCATTAAAGCCGTAAAATTAGTAATTCTTTTATAAATTAAAAATATATATATATTTACTGATTGTCATTGTGATTATTCTGCGCGTTTGCATGAATTATTCTTTGCTGTTTCTTCCGAATTTTTCGATGAATGTTTCGAGTAATGAAGGATCTGTTTTTCTCCCGTTCGTTTTTCCTCCTCTTGCTCTCTGTTTGGTTACTGAGAATAGAAAGGGACGCGAAGGGTTTGGTTATTGTGTTTGTGGCTCAGTTGAGCTTTGTTTATGCTTTTCCGGATTCCTAATTACTTATTCTTCTTAATGACTTTTGTTTTCTTTCTCTTTCTCAGCAACCAAGCATAGTTCTATTTGATTTCTGGTTTCTCTGTTCTTACTTTTCTTTCACTTTCCAAAAAATTAAAGTAAGATTTGTTTTGATCTCTTGTCCTGCTTTTTAGTTCCTTTTTAATTTTGTTTTGACGAGTTCATGGCTTTGTTTCGTCCTTTCCTCCTTTGCCGCTTGGCTTTTTAGCAACTCCATTTTGACTTCCTTTGAAGAGGGAAAGATCAAAGCTTCAACATTCTCTCTCCTTTTAGAAGATTGAATTGTAGTAATATGTTCAAAATTTTTGACTATTCATAAGATTCTACTTTTAACAATCTAGATTTTTTATGGGGTTTCTATAGCACTATATATGTCTAGTTTTTCTTCTCTCTCTATGTATATATAAGATACATGTATGCATGCATACATACATACGCCGACACATTTCCTCTTTATGATTGTGAGATGAAGTTAAAATCCCAAAAAATCACCTGGAGAATCCAATTGTTCTTTTGCTTTTTTTTCTTTATCAAAAGATTATTTGTTGTAAGACTAATTCTTTTTGCCTTCCCTCCTTGTGTGTATCGAACCCGGTCATTAGGGGATGCTGGTTTGGACTATTCATGAATGGAGACCATGATAATTATATAAATGAGATTCCCTTTGCAGGACAAGTGAGCAAGACAGCCTTATGTATTTTATATTCCTTTCACATGCAAAATCCTATAACTATATTTTGTTTGATCTGTTTAGTTTACATGCGGCCTTATATTTAATTATAGAAAACAATTCAATTAATTAATGTTTTCTTGTTCTGTTTAGCTGGTTTTGTTATTGATTCACGTTGCCTCCAGTGGATTGACATTTGACCAAGATAAACATACCATAGTTTTCGTTATTAGGCTCCAAAATTCCCTGGTTTGGTGTATGGGAATCTCTGGAGTTTCAGTAGCCTTGTGCCTGGTTTACCATATAACCTGATTTGGGAATTCCATGTGAGATCTGTTCTCACAGAAGGAGGAACCTCGCGCCTTATTTCGACCAGATGTGAGTTACTGGGACTGTGCAAATGGGGGGTTGCATCTCAACTAGCAGTCGGAGTACTTGTAGCAGCCGCAGCAATGGAGAGATTATTTCTCCCTCTTGTATGGGCATTGGATTTTGTGGGCAAAAAAGAACTAGGAAAACATTTTTTGATCAAGTGACTACTTTGCAACATTTGTCATCCATTCCTAATCGGGTTTTCGCAAATGGAAGGAGTCGAACTTCTTGTATATTCACTCAGCAGGGCCGTAAGGGTATAAACCAGGATGCCATGATCGTGTGGGAAGTAAGTTCTATCCTGTTGTTTGAGAATATGGTTGGTCATCTTTGGAGGTTAATTTCTTCATTTTTGAATTTCTGTAGGATTTTATGCCAGAAGATGCTACTTTTTGTGGCATATTTGATGGCCATGGTCCACATGGTCATCTTGTTGCCCGAAAAGTAAGGGATACTCTGCCACTGAAGCTATTGTCGTTCTTACACTCTCATGAATCGAAGCAAAATGTGTCTAGTACTACTTGTTGCACCCGGAACCTAAAATCAGATGTTGGAGATCTTGAGAAGGATGGTGGCGCTACAGAGGATAAAGTGTATTCTGTATGGAGAGAAGCTTTTCTTAAATCATACAAGGCCATGGACAAAGAGCTGAGATCCCATCCTAACCTGGATTGCTTTTGCAGTGGTAGCACTGCTGTCACTATGGTGAAGCAGGTATGGCAGGGTGCCCACTCTTCTTTTTTTTTTTTTACTCTCTCGTTTAAAGTTTTTACTCTTATATGCAATTCATGTTTTGATCGCAAGGGGTCAAATCTATTCATGGGATATATTGGGGATTCTAGGGCAATCTTGGGATCTAAAGACAACAACGATACTATGGTAGCGATTCAGTTGACTGTTGATCTAAAGCCTGATTTGCCAAGTATGTTCTTACCAAAATTCAGATTTTGAGCCATTTATTTTTGTTGTGAATTCCTGATTGTGTTCTTCTGGATGTATTTGCTAATAGGAGAAGCTGAAAGGATTAAACGTTGTAAAGGTAGGGTTTTTGCGTTGCAAGATGAGCCTGAAGTACAAAGAGTTTGGTTGCCATTTGACGATGCCCCTGGCTTAGCAATGGCTCGAGCATTTGGGGACTTCTGCTTGAAGGAGTACGGGGTGATATCTATACCTGAGTTTTCTCACCGGGTTCTTACAGAGAGAGATAAATTCATTGTTCTTGCTTCTGATGGGGTAAGTATTCCTCCTGTGCATCTTAATATAAATTGCGGATTAGGGATTGCCTAGTTGGGTATCGTTAGGACTTGGGGATCTATTTGAAAATGTGGACTATGCCTGCTAACAGAAACAAACAGCTGACATAATATGATAAATTTGATACAACCATATAAAAGTGAGAAAATATTACTTGGATTGAACTTGAGGATGGGGACTGAATTGTGACATCTATTTGTAAGTGACGTTATATTACGACCAAGGACCGTTAATTATTTCATTATTATTTGTACTATTCCCTTTTTGGTGAGTACGAGCATGCATTACAAGTTTGAGAAATTTGGCATATCGTTAATTATGAAGTATTAGAATTATTTTGGCATCTTGTAAAATGCCACATTCTATTATACCAGTGAAGCAACAACACCTGGAAAGCAAACACTTTCACATATTGATTAAAGTTAATTTGACATTTTGATCTGATGTATGGTTTTGTTGTCATTTTCCTCTGAAAGGTTTGTTTTTACAGTTGTAATTTACCATTGATACTCATCTTATTATTTTTGGCATGCATTTAGCTTATGTCAATGGAACTTGGACATGTCTTTCTTCAGTAATATTTATCCCGTTATCTGATTATAGACATGGATTTCATATTTACACATATTGCATGAAAGTTGCTCTACCAGTGCATCTAAATGGTTTCATTCGACTATAACTTGTATTTTGTTGTATTACCTATGAGTTCAGAGCGAGGATACTGTTTTCCTGATAGATAAGTTGAAATGAGCAAGTTATATAATTGAAGGCCTATTAGTGTTTAGACAGTCATCCATTGTTAACTTCTAATGACTGGTTATGGATTATTGTATTATGAAGTTCTTGAATGCGGGATTAACAGTACAACAATCTCTCATAGAACTCAGTTCTCTCTGATATCAGCTTGGTTTAATCCAATTTTGGTCTGTTGTGAGGATGGTGGACCCAAGCCGTACTTGGTTTCATCCAAAATGAATTGATTAAAGCCTTCTTTTTCATATTACATGTTAATTTGCAAAGCTGTCAAGCTCGTCTCTTGCAAAACTCAGAAATTCACTCTCTTGCAACACAACCAAAGATGACATGACATCTTGGCTCAATCTCTCTTTAGGGTTATCTATATCTCTGCCGTTCTCTTCCTCTTCCTTTTCTTTTTCTTCTTCGCCAGAGACCCTTTTCTTTTATCTTTTTTCCCTATCGCCTTTCTTTATGACTTTTTCCCTTTTTTTTTTCGTTTTTCATTTTTTTGCCGTCTTCTTATCCCCCCCACACACACATATATAATGAAAAAGATCCCTTTTTTTTTTTTTTTTTTTTTTTTTCCTCTCAACAAAATCCTGATTCTACCTACTCTCTATTGCTTTCTCTCTGTTAAGAGATTCTTTCTCTCTGCAAAGTAGTGTGCCTGGATGTATGAAATCTAGGATATTGAGAAGACTTGTTTTCATGCTTACTAGTGGTTCCATTGTCATATTCATTAGCATGTGACTTTGGGGGTGAAATCCTGATTCTACCTACTCTCTATTGCTTTCTCTGTTAAGAGATTCTCTCTCTCTGCAAAGTAGTGTGCCTGGATGTATGAAATCTAGGATATTGAGAAGACTTGTTTTCATGCTTACTAGTGGTTCCATTGTCATGTTCATTAGCACGTGACTTTGGGGGTGAAATGGAGAAATTGGACCGAAATTTGTATTTTGACTGTCTGTTTTTCCAGTCTTTTGAATGAAACTCAGGCGAGTTTCTTTGCTACCTCAAGGGCTTCAAGGGAGAGCAAACCTTCTCGCTTTTTTCTTCATTATAGTGATGGAAGTATTGAACATTATGATTAGTAAAATAGTTGACCGCATGTTATCTGAGTGGATTCTCGGTTGGAGCTGTGAGTGGGACCCCTATTCCTATCTCTCATCTTATTTCTGTCAATGACATCATCTTTTTTAAGGAGTAAAAAGGAGCAATTAAGATATCCACAATGCATCATGTTTTTTGAGTTTGTCTCATTTGAAGATCAACTTGGCTAAAAATGAGTGTTCTTGCCAAGCTGTGGAGGACTTGCATGTGTTTTAGGCAAAGAATTTGGGTGCAAAGTAAAGATGTCTCCCTACATTTTTTTTTGGTTTCCCTCTCAGTTCAGCATGTTAATAACTTCGTTGTGGGACTCTGTGATGGAGACTTTTGAGACTTGTGGGTTTGTCAATTGGGCTGGGCAGGGCCGGGCCGGGCCGGGCCGGGTCAGAAATGGTAACTTTAAACTCTGCCAAAAGAAAATTTCCTAAGCTCAGGCCAAAGTTCTTCCATAGGTCTGAGCTCAATAACTTCAATCTTTTCTTTAGACCAGTTCTAACATAAATTCTAGCTATCCCAAATTAGATGATTTGTTATCAGTTCTCCTAAGAGTAAAACAATAAAACAGTACGTCACTTTGCTAACATGGTATTTGAACCAAAGCTCTGTAATTACATTTTAAAAGATCAGCCAACAGTGCAATATTTTAAAGAGAGATGGAGAAAATATAAAAATGTCCTTAAAATTTTAAAGAGAATAAAAATGCAGTATATGAGAAATATGAAATACTATTATACAGTGGTTGGAATTGAGTGCAGGCTAAGCTAGCATAGCACAAACTCAACTTACAAATAAACAAGGGGCTCAAACTTATAGTTGTCCTTGGCTTGGTCCTGATTCAAACCAAGTTCATCCTTGAAATGTGAGGACTTTATGGGTAGGATTCGGGTTCTTCCATCCTAATCAGTAGTCTTGAGTTTCTTGGTAGAAAAAGAGAGTATTTATCAAAAGTGGGGTAGCTCACTTTTACGAAGAATACTCACTCGAGCTTGTTGACTAGATCATTCCCATTTCAGCTTCTGTTACAGACAGGCCCGAGAAATTTAAGAGGAATTTTTGGTAAGGATATATAGAGTAGGAATTTTCTAAGTATTGAAATAGCTTTTTTGGTTATATTTTCTATTACTCTGCCCATTTAGTAAAGTAAAGCACTCGACCATTTGAGTTCTAGTATCACTCTGCAGCATGGGACTCTGTCTGTAGTCTTGTCAGTGGCAGGGCTGGGTACAAGGAACTTTAAACAATGCAACTAAGCATAAGCTAGGGAAATTGCTATGGATATTTTCCTAGAAACTGATTGTCTTTGAAGAAAGGTGGTGGAGGGAAGAGGGAATATACATCAAGGGATCTTAAAGGATATAGTGCAGACATGAACAGGTTAGAAGAAAAAATTATGACCACAATACGAAAGGGGTCATGATATTGGTGCTGACATGAGTCCCTGCAGTTTGATAGTTGCTGTAGAAAATTGTCTAGATTCAAGTAGTTAGCAACACGGCAAACAAGAAACAATTATGCGTAAGACAGCATTATTAATGTGCAGATGTGATAATCTCGTAATTAGGAACCATATTTTTCTCCTTGTTCCCAAGGATCTGTGCTGTTAAAGAATTAAAAAGGTCCTGCCTCAGGCTTCCCAGTTAGATTATTCTTTTAATTTTCTGAACTGTTCCAGTGTATTCTTGTTGCAGGTCTGGGACGTACTAAGCAATGAGGAAGTGGTTGAGATAGTTTCATCAGCTCCAACCCGGTCATCAGCTGCACGAATTCTGGTTGATTTTGCAGCCCGTGAATGGAAATCTAAATACCCAACATCGAAGATGGATGACTGTGCAGTGGTTTGCTTATTTTTGGACGGGAAAATGGACTCAGAATCTGATTATGATGAACAAGGTTTCTCTTCAGCAACTCTTCAGAGCAATCATTCTGGTAATGCAGCAGAATCAGATGATGGCCAGAACTCTGAGCCATCTTTGCAGAGAAATTTTACTGTCAGATCATCTGAAGAAAACGAACCCTACAAAAGAGTATCGGCCGAGGTTGAAGGAAATGAAAATGCAGTGTCCGAAGATCAGAATTGGTCAGGTTTGGAAGGAGTCACACGAGTGAACTCGCTTGTTCAACTTCCAAGATTTTCTGAGGAAAGACCAAAAACTTAATTTTTGTAATATCTGAGAAATTAAATGGGATTAGTTGTGTTGTAATACCTTGGCTTCAGCCTCAAAAATCCAAGTAATAGAAAATCTTTCTGGATTGAGTGTTCATATCATTGAAGATTACTTCAAATATTTTTCTGCTGCAGCATATCATTTGTGTTGATCTATTATGTCTTAATGTTGTTGCATTTTTAAACTTAAACCATGATTTGAGAACTGTTTGATTTGTTGTTGAAAGTGACTCCACACAGACCAAGATAATAGTTTGGTTTTTGATACAGATAAATTTTATCCTTATCAAATTATTGAGAACCTTATAGATGCTGGAATGCTTAAATTTAAAGAATTGCCAGTATTAGTACCCATTATTAGTGATTGCTTAAGCAACGATGGGCAACAGCAGCCGGGAATTGAGACTTGAGACCATCATTTGAAGGTAAATAGAGCCCCAAAGAACCCTAGACCACAGTTGAAGCATTTGAAACACTGTTGATACCATTAAGTTTCAATTTTAACATTAGTCCTTGAACAGTGAGGCCACCACAACATTGTGGGATATGGTTTGAGTGCCCTTGCAGAGTTACAAAAGGGATTGCAGATTCACACATGCAGCAACTGCTAATGAGGACTAACGTTAAAAAGAAGAAACGTTGCCATTGGCTCGTTAAATCTGGTAGACTTCCTTTTCTTCAGGAAGTTACTACCAAATGGAATGGGGAAAATGAAAATGATCAACAATACTGTTATTCAATTTGTGTGTCATAAGGCAGTTGTACGAGTCATGTACGTGATGTGATGTAGCTTATTTATCAAAAGATGCAACCGCGACAATTAAACAAGTAACATCTCATCCACACACGTATGTAACTGTTAGACCATCTATCAATTACTCCAAAAGCTTAAACTGTTAAGGAATGAATGCAACAATGTATATATCAAGGTCTAACAGCAGAACTTATAGTGTTTGAATTTAGATATCATATTGAAGAGAGAGAAAAAAAAGAATGTTCTGTGCTATATTTAAAACAAGCATGAATTGCTATAACATAATTGAATCCCCTCCCCCAACCCCAAAATAAAATAAAATAATGAAAATAATAATAATACAATAGTGGGGTGTGCTGATTAGCAGGGACATACAGTTGCAGAAGCCACATGTACACATCCCTGTGGAGGTATATCACTGACCCTGCCATAATTTTTTCTTCAAATCAATCGAAAAGATGATTCGGTCAGTTGGCCTTTTGACTTAAAGATGTTCTCGAGTTGTTAACTTAATTATTCCTGCAAAGTGACCACAAAATTAGAAGATGTTAGTGTTCAATGATGCAAGACATAATACTGAGAAAGATGGGAGCAGAGTCAGCCTTTTTCATAAACTGAAGAATAGGGAAGCCTGGTTGAAAATCAGTAATTGTATTTTGGTTAAGACATGGGCCTGTGTCCAGCTTCATTAATTGATATAATCAGCGAATAACCCATTCGGTTATCCATCTTAGCATTCAGTTTATTTATCCTAAAATGTCCAAAGGTTGTAGACTCTCAAATGAAAATGTAGCTGTCAACTTGTCATACCTCATGGGGACTGCTTGATGAAGAACTGGAATTTGCTTCCAATGATGCCTCAGATATTCGTGCTTCTGATTTCTCATTTGAATAACTACAAAGGAAATTTTCAGTTTAGAAATATAAAGCTTCTACTGAAACATTTCAGCAATCCTTCCTTATCTAACAGCCAAACAGAGAGGATCTGTAAAAGATCACAGCCCATCACAGATAGATTATTATTATGATTTTCATATAATTTTTGGCAGAAAATACAATCTAAGCACAAAACACTACTGCCAAAGGATCAAACCAACCATTTGGGATTCTTCAATGGGAGAACCCAAAAAAGATTCAATGTGTTCAGCTTTCTATTATTGGCTCTAGTATAATCTACCAACTGACTAAGAAAATCTCTACCGCAGATAATTTTATTGTGTCATGTGTAGAATGTGGTCATGCTTCTTCATTTTCTTAATTTATATCTCCAGTCTGATTTGATTTATAAAAATATGGAATAAAACAAGAGAACATAAAGCAAAAATAAAAGAGAGATTAAACATCACAACCAGCATTCCAAATCAACATGATTGTGCAATTTTTTCTTTTTCCTCTACCTATCCTCTTAGGCCAAACAGAGCATCAGAATATGCAGTATTGTAACTGTTCTAATTGATTATGAAAGATGCTTACGTTGAAAGTATGGTAACCCATATGAGTTCTACACAATCCACCCAAAGAAGCCTTTGCTCCAAGGGGATCACACCATAGGTAATCAAGTGAGCAAATGGCCAAAGCTTCCACCCTGCCTGCCAAGCAAATCACAATCAACCAAAAGTTTATTCTACCAGATGTTGATGAGTAGATGACTAACAAGAAATTGACTAACCTATATTGAATTTATATTCATATTTAATCCAGGATTCAAAAGCATCCCAACTAATTGGTTACTGTTGTTAGATATACCAGACACCAAAACCTTCCCTTCCAAATTATTACGAGTACACCTTCAACATTTACATAAGACAAGAAGAGTTTCTTACAGTCAACATGGGCCGAAATGTGGCCTTTAGTTTGTTGAAAATATTTGCTGAGGATTCGAAACGCAAGAGCCCCAAAGCCACAAAATAGATACTGTTCCAAGCTGCTGCCCATGCGGTTTGGTCAAAAGCAACTTTTGCAGGGACTACCCACCAATCCTTGGACGGGAAAAGAGCCTGTAAACCAAAGTAAACAAATTCAACCATCCACAAAAGGTTTTCAACAAACTAGTTGGATTGAACACAAGTATGTATGAACCATAATAATAATCACCTCGCAAATTTGGTAATAATAATGAGAAAGGGATCCGTGGAGTAAGAACCCAACAAGGCCTGATCTAAACATGCGTGTCCGATCAAACTCGAAGAGAGGTTTCCCTTCATAACACTGGAAATTCAGCAGTGGTATCCCACAAAATGTTTAGAGAAAAAAACAAGTCTCACTTGAAACCATTGAAATATGTTTCAAAAACACAGACTTACTTGTGCAATCCAGTCTCCTACAGAGTATACAACCCCACTTATCACCATTTTCGCTAATACAGGGTGTGTTTTGAGTGCTTCTTCATAAGCAATCCAATTGTGTTCCGGTGCATACCTCAGTACCTCGTATAGGGTCCATCCCTGAATGGCATAGATGAAGAAGCAATGAAGCCTCACATATGGAAATACAAGTGACAATTCTGGTTACTGTAAAGAAACTCAATTTGGGAATATGCAGATACTAGACATGGATAAACAACTTGAATATATCAAAAAATTAAAAAAATTAAAAACTGAAACTCTCCAAAAGTCATCTGACTTCAACAAAGAATAAACACAAACTTAAGTAAAATAAATTCAAGCTAAATCTACCAAAAACCTGAGGTCAGAAGATAGAAGTAAAAAGAAACACTCATTTGCAACACCATTATAGTGGAACCCACGTGGTATTTTTCAGTTTTGTTTTGTTTTGTTTTTTTTTTTTTTTTTTCCAGAAAGCAAATGAAGGTATTTTTCAGTATATATATATATATATATAAGCAACAAAACCATGAAATTACATATACCCATCTTTGATTTTCATAAGAGAAAAAGACCACTCACTTGCCAGTAATCATGGTCAATGGTAAGTAACCTAGTGATTGCAAGAGTACCAAATCCCAGAACAATAGTAGCATTGATTGCTCTGCCTAAGAACCCATCAAAATTTTCAGACCCATTAGATAATATGCTGATTTTCTCTCCCTCTAATTCTCCTCCAATTGGAGTTTTCTCTTTCTCCTCTTGGTCATCTGAACCACTTGTATGTGCTGTAACCGCGTTCCGATCCTCGGTGACCGATTTAACGAGCCAATTGGGTCTCTTATTGGCCGAGATAGTTGAATTCAGAGATGGGTTTGATTTGGTGAAGAGCTGAGAAGAAGAAGAAGAGAGGGACAGAGTACTCGAAGGTAATTGAGATTTCTTATGTTCTGTGATGGATTTGGCGGGTGGAGAGAGAATATGGGCGGTGACAGTAGCCATGTCTCGAAAAGAAGAAAGCAAAGTCCAATATGGAATATACTATACAGGAAATCATTTATATACATATACAGCTTATAATTAGATATCGTGTCATTGTGGTTACCGCCAATTGAATTTCCATCAACAGTTGAATTGTTGAGATTTCTCTAAATTTCAAGGACTTTTCTAATTTTTTTAAAATGATACTAACTTTATTTTGTAGTTTAGTAATTGAGTTGTTTTTTGGTTGAGGAGCTCGATTTTGGACCTCGATATCTCTAATTTTTAATTAAAAAAATTCAATTTTTACTTTTCTAATAAATTTTCTATTTCTCCTTTGGTAAATAATAAATTTTGGAGTTGCAAGTAAAACTAATTCAATGTTGCTATCAATCGTGTCCCAATCAATTAATTGTCAAGAACATATGCATTTAAAATAAGAAAATGATGATATCAGTTTACATCAAAAGAAGAGGAATTTGTAATTATGCAATGGTATACACGCAGAAAGAAGTAGGTTTGTCAAGTTGGAAAAGAAATTTTGGTTCAAAATAAATTCAAATTTTAAAATACCAATTTAAATTTTTGGTTCATAATATGTTCGAGTTCCAAAATAAGGTAGAATAGATTTTAAAATCTCAAGTGTCCTACTAATTTTTTAGACTTTTTTTCTCATATTATTTGCATTGTGATGTCTGAAGATTTTAAATTCGTTAATGTTAGAATATATAAAAAAGAAAGAAAATAATATGATTTTCAACAACTGCAAAAGGAAAATGCACACTTGTCCATACTAATTATTATCTTATTTGAAAAAGAAAAGGTTAAAAAGAAAAAAAAAATTATTATCTCAATAAAAATAATAAATGAAAAAATGAGTCCGCTTAATTTGTAACTTTAAAAATAATTAATTTAGAAAATAAAAAATTATTTTCAGATAACTATAAAAAAAAAGTCTTTTGAAAATAAATATTTTTATAAATCAAGCAAAATTTTTTGTACAATAATCTATTTTTAAAAAATTAAAAATTATTTTTAAAATTACAAACTAAATAGACACTTGATATCTTTAATTTTATTTTTCAAAAACAATTCTTAAAACTGATAAAATACTGTTTTCAGATAAAGAAAAAAAAAAAAAAAAAAACCCAATGAGCCAAGGATGAAGCCTCATTTCAAATAGAAAAACCTAATTATTGCCGGATTTTATAAGCCTATCAAGAAACTAATTATTTCCGGTGAAGTTGTGGGATAAAAGCATTTTCAGCACTAAACGGATTTTAAACATGAGAAAATTTCAATTTTTTGTCCCTTTTATTAAAATAATCCTATCAATCGTGTCCCAATCTTTGTACTTTTCTTACTTTTATTTTCGCTCCAAGCTTTGTACTAACACTTGCCATTTTAGCAGCAAATGATCTAAACCCTAATGAGAAGAACCCTAAGGTCCAAATCTCTCTCACCTCTATCTGCAATTCCTCGACCTCTTCGTCCGTACAACAATGGAAGTTCTCATTTCTCTCCATCCACGCCACCAAAACCCTCGAAACAAGACCCAGCCTCACCTTTCAGGTCAAATCCCAGATGGGTATTCACTACTTCACTCCCACCACCCGAGTGGATACAGCCCTTCGCTGACCTCTCTGACCTCATCACAAGCCCTAAACACCTCAAACCCTCCCCTTGGGTCCAGCAAATTCTCAACCTGTTGGACAATTCTCCAAACATGGAGCACAATTTACAAGTGTATTGCCACAAATTCCTAATCCGATTATCACCCAATTTCGTGGCTTTCGTGTTACACTCCGATCAGCTTCGCGGGCAATTCGACGTCGCTTTGAGGTTTTTCTACTGGGCTGGTAAGCAAAAGGGCTATACCCATAATCTAGAATGCTATGTTTCTTTGATTGACGTGTTATCTGTGTCTGGTGATTTAAATAGAATTCGATGTATTTTTCGTGAATTTAAGGATAGAGGTTTTTTAATTAATGTCTCGGCTGCTAATTCTTTGATTAGGAGTTTTGGAAGTCTTGGGTTGGTGGAGGAATTGTTGTTTGTGTGGCGTCAAATGAAAGAAAATGGTATTGAGCCGACTTTGTACACCTATAACTTTTTGATGAATGGGTTGGTGAATTCAATGTTTATTGAATCCGCAGAACAGGTTTTTGAGGTCATGGAAGGTGGGAAGATTGGGCCTGACATTGTGACTTACAATACAATGATTAAAGGGTATTGTAAATCTGGGAAGACTCGGAAAGCAATGGAAAAATTTAGAGATATGGAGGTGAGAAATGTGGAACCTGATAAGATCACTTATTTAACTTTGATGCAGGCGTGTTATTCTGAAGGGGATTTCAGTTCCTGTTTGAGTCTTTATCAAGAAATGGAGGAGAAGGGATTGGAGATCCCGCCTCATGCTTACAGTTTAGTGATTGGAGGGCTCTGCAAAGATGGGAAGTCTTTGGAAGGGTATGCTGTTTTCGAAAACATGATTCGGAAAGGTTGTAGAGCTAATGTGGCTATATATACTGCTCTGATTGATTCGTATTCGAAAAGTGGCAACATGGAGGAGGCTATGAGGCTTTATGAGAGAATGAAGAGTGATGGGCTTGAACCAGATGAGGTTACATGTGGTGTAATAGTTAATGGTTTATGCAAGAGTGGGAGGATGGAGGAGGCCATGGCGTATTTCGAATTCTGTAAAGGTAACAATGTGGCCGTTAATGCCGTGTTTTATTCAAGTCTCATTGATGGTCTTGGAAAGGCTGGGAGAGTGAATGAAGCTGAGAGACTTTTTGAAGAGATGGCCGAGATGGGATGCACACGGGATTCTTATTGCTATAATGTACTTATTGATGCTATGGCTAAGAGTGGAAAGATTGATGAAGCATTAGTGCTCTTTGAGAGAATGGAAGATGAAGGTTGTGATCAGACAGTGTATACATACACAATATTGATCAGTGAATTGTTCAGAGAACATAGAAATGAGGAGGCGTTGAAGTTTTGGGATATGATGATCAATAAGGGTGTCACACCCACAGCAGCTTCTTTTAGAGTTCTTTCAACTGGGCTTTGTCTTTCAGGCAAGGTGGCGAGGGCTTGTAAGATTCTGGATGAACTAGCACCCATGGGGGTTATTCCTGAGACTGCTTTTGAAGATATGATCAATGTGTTGTGCAAAGCTGGTCGTATTGAGCAGGCTTGCAAGTTGGCTGATGGAATTGTAGACAGGGGTCGAGAAATACCAGGAAGAGTTCGTACTGTTTTAATTAATGCCTTGAGGAAGGCTGGGAATTCAGATTTGGCGATGAAGTTGATGCACAGTAAGATTGGTATTGGTTATGATAGGATGGGTAGCGTTAAAAGACGAGTCAAGTTCCGGGTTCTTGTTGGCATTTGATTCTTGGACCACATGTAAGGTATCATGTAAATTTGCAGAGTTTATGATGAGGGCTCTTTGTCCTCGTAGTTTAGAGCTCAATTTATGAAGATCCCCTGCAAGGAGGATCAGATGTGTAATATAACTGAGCTGGAAACCTTATTAAGTTTTATCAATTGCGTTTTGGTCCAGTTAGATGACAAACAGGTAGATACCAGTGTTCGGCAGACAAGTTCTAGTCAATTTTGATGCTGTTGTGGCTCATCGCTTGGATTTAACGCAGCCCGGAGAAGAAAGATAGATCTTTGTAGCTAAGCCCAAGTAGTTGGGATTAAGATGTTCAGTCAAGTGAATTACTTAATATATCCATGTGGAATAGATTTATGGGTTAAGAGATCCGGTGCAATAGTCTGCAGTGAACCTGTTTCGAAGCAACAAGCCTTGTTGGTCACTATCTGAAGCTAATTTTCAAATATCAATATGTGCAAGCATCTTTCATATCCACTCCTACCAGGCTGATAAACTTTGAAGTGCCTAATAAGAGATGTCATCGATGTAAGTTCAAGTATTCTCTATCGTTATAATGTTTGTCTTTCTATTTGCAAATATTACCTGAACAAAATTTATGCCCATTGCTCATACTATATGGTGTTCTGCGACTCATTGTTACTCTAGATGGTGAAGATGTTATTGACTGTGAACCGATATTGGGTTATTTACACAGAGGGATGGAAAAGATTGAACAAAGCTGAATAATTATACAATATTTGCCTTATGATGGAAGTCATTGTTATGGATGATTGTGTATGGCAGCTGTTGCCTGCTTTTTTAATCCATTGCTTAGTCGCCTCTAATCCTTTCTTTACAACTTGCAAGGAACACTGCCAGGACCTTTGTAGTGCCCTGAATTTTAGTAAAGTAGCTGTTAAGGGTAGAATGTTCACGTAGAGGATTTTATGAACTAGAGATTTAACAAGTTTATAGCTGGATACATGTGAACCAGTTTATGCATATTAGAGAAATAAAGTCAGAACGGTTATTGAGCCGGAAATAGTAGTCTCATGTAAAAGGCATATGACCACGTGTAAAACTTTAAAGGACAGGTGTTGCCATTATTTGTATGCCCAAGTCACTTGTATATCTGCAACTATTACCTTAGGGTCTTATAGGACATTAGTAACTATGCATGTGAGTTACCAGTACAGATGTTCATCATATTTATTCATTTATAAAGCCTTGGGTCTATATATTGAGTACAATAGCAATTTTCGGCCAGAACAAGGGAAAAGAGGAAGGAGAAGGAGATGTAGCAGAGATTGGTGCGACAGAGAGAAGGAAGAAGAGTAAAGAGGAATCGATAGAGAGAAGGAAGGAGAGTAAAGAGGAAAATTGGAAGAAAAATTGGAAGACAAAGTTGGAAAAAGGGGCTCAAGGGAAGGTTTTCCTTCTATTTCAAATTTCTTGAAAAATAAATTGTTAGTTTCAAATTCGCTAAATTAATATAAATGTTCACAAAATCGTTTTCCTTACATGCAAACTATGGAACCTAATTTTCAATTTGTTTTATTTCATATGAAAATGACTTTGAATCATTAGAGATTGATTTGGTTTCCTATGCTCTGTTACATGGACTCTTCAAAGGTAGTGAAGTATCCGTATTGGACACATATTGGGATATGTGTCCGACACTTTTGGTTGGACATGTACTTACAAAGCATATCCAATCATTCAATTACATTATATTATTACTTTAAAATGAGTTAAATGTCTATATTGAATATTATATTAGATAAAAACATTACTTTACTCTAGAAAATACAATAAAATAATTAATAAAATTAATATTTAGCCGTGTCCATGTGTCCTGATATTTGGAGATTTGACACGTCCGACGCATGGATATATACCCGTGTCCGACACCCGTATCCGAGTCCATGTAACATAGTTCCTATGTTGAAAACTTGAGTTGAACTCTATGATTTGGACTGCTATTTACTTGACTTAATTTCGTTATTCAACTTTGAAATTTTGATATATTGGAATACCATGGAAATCGAGACTCTGGAACTTTATTTGGTTTAATTTAGTTTTGTTTTGTATTATGTATGAATTGTTGAAGTTGCATGAGACTGCTTGTGGGATGCTTTCTACACATGCATCAGAATTTCCCTTACTCTTTTGACTTTAATATACTAGTTTTGTGAAGATTTTACTGAAGATGAGTTGTTAGTACTATAGTGTGATGTGTTACCATTCCTTTGGCTTTGGGTTCCTGTTCATCTAATTTGAGTGAGTATTTAAATTTCTATGAAATTTTAATGAGGAACAGTTTTCTGCTGACATTTTGTGTAAAGCTGGGCCTTTGGATAATTTTATTTCCGTATTTATGGGTTTATTTAGAATATAAAATTTTGAGCAGTAAAAATAGACCTAATGATGTTTCTCTAGAGTTTATCTTACTATTTAATCTAAAGTATATGGTTTATGGTAAATTTTGGAATGTAAAACGTGGCTATGAATTGTATTGATATTGAGTTTGGGTATCATCTATTATTTGCCTATGTTTGAACTTGATTGTGTTTCCACTGTGTATGTGACTCGGAAGCAAATTGGTAGGATAAGAGTTTCCCTTGGGTTGAAAAACCTTAAACGGCCCGGGCCCTAAGGATAGGGTGTTCACAGTCCCGGGTGAGAGCCCCTGAAACCGAAGGACGGGTGTAGCGGTCCCGTGGGGAAGCTCCTTGAAGACGCATGAGGGTAGACACTGTTGGATTGGATATGGTTATTATTGCCTTCCGGAATTTGCCATCCTTGATGCACTATTGGATTTCTTGAGTAATCGATTTAATGAATTTTGATACGAGTGGAATTTGGAAATGATGTGTTATTTTCAGTTGATTTGAAATATTATAGTTTATTTGATTATATTTTGCAGCCTAGCCTAATGTTCTGATCATTTTCTGAAAAAGTAATGTCATTTCTTTTCCTGTAAATTTAATAAATGAAATATGTTTTTCTACGTTCTAGACTAGAATTTATCAAAAAATTTGTTCAAACTAAGGAAACCTACTGCACTCCTTGAGCTCACCTTTTTCATTAAAAAACTTTTCAGGTTCTAGCATGGGCGGACGGGGTAGCAGGACAAGCAAGGTCTGAAGATATATTGTTTAGAGGATTTCGTACTAATCTTTGTGCAGCTCGAGCTTAGATTTGTAACTTTTGATATGTGGTGGCTTGAGAATCACTTTGGTCCTACTTGGGAGCTTGTACTTATAGATATTGTGTTGTATACTTGGATAACCAAGTGATCTTTGATTTTTATATTAAGTTATGGTATAAGCTCGACAAGGAATTTAGATGTGTTTGGCTCTGGCGGGAGTATTTCGCGGGGAGCGATGGTGGCAACCTTTTACCGAGTGTTGTACCAATCCTTTCATTTTAGGTTATGCTTTTTGTTTTTAACATCACAGGGATGCTTTGATTTAGAAGGAAGGAAAATAAATAAAGAAAAAGCTTATGAAGGTTCTTGTGTTGATAATAGACTTCTTCCTCTTTAATTTGTTCATTGCCTCTATTAATAAAAAATAAAAATAGGATGATGAACCAAATATGCACAAGACATCTTCTTTGAGCATTGCTAATCACTTATCAATTAGTCAAAGACACTAACACACCCCAACTTACCCATGCTTACTAATTTTTAAATTATTTTATTGATAAAATATTATTTGAAATTTTTTTTTTTGAAAAAACAAAAAGGTTAAAAAAAATAAAATAAAATAGAGGACCAAGAAGTTGTTTCTAATTCAGTGATTCACTAAGACTCTGGATAAATCTGTAATTTACTCTTGCTCTAATTTTCAACTGGCATGTGTGGATCTCAGGCGCTGCGGCGCAACGACGTAAAGTAAGAAATGACGTTGCACGTGATCAATTTGAAAGGTTAATCTGAGTCGTTAAATCATCTCCCGATCTGGTGTGATTCTTACGCTAAACAGTGCTCCTGGTAAAGCCGACAAGGGGGTCTGACACGTTGGTCCTAGGGACTCGACTCATCCAATGGATATTTGCCACGTTTCCTGTCCGATGTGGGCCCCAAATAAAATGGAGGAGTGGTATATATAATAGAGTAATGGGCGGTCGCAGTAGCACCAACGAGCTCTCGCATATAGGCCACCCGATCTGTTTGCTTAGGGATTCGGTCTTCCTAACCCAAAAAAAAGCATCTTCTCTCTCTACTCCCCGGCCTCTCTCTCTCGTCCTTCATCTTCCCCTCCTTCCTAACCCAAAAAAACTTCTTCTCTCTCTACTCACCGGCGGGCGGCGGTGACCTCGGCTGTTTACTGTAGTTTGATTCCGGCGATGGCCTTTGATGGTTTTATTTTGTTTTGTTTTTTTCAGAACTCCTGCATCAATACTGTACTTCTATATATATATAAAAAATTGAAAATCAGAGAAAACAAATTTTTTTTTTTTTTTTAAACAGTGATGGGTAAAAATTAAAAAACTGAAAACAAAAATCGGTGGTGATGGGTTTCCAGTTCTTCGGATCAGGTTTTGGGTTGATTGCGGTTATGGGTGGTGATGGTTTTGGGTTTTGTTTTTTGATTCAGAGATGGTGAGATCAGCCTTGAAAATTGATATGATGAAGAGTTGGAGAACTGAGATGGGTAGGAGAGAGAAAGTAAGGAGAGGGACGGCGGCTTGTGCAGGCGGGCGATTGACAGAACAGAGGGCAAGATGGGCTGTGGAAGAACGTCGGCAGTGCTTGGATGTGGTTGAATCGCAGTGGGCTTTCTGCTCACCGCCACCTCTTCGCTGGAAAAGGAGGGTCCTGGCCGCCGTTTTCTCGTTTTCTTACTTTCCTCTCTCTTCTTCGCCAGAAAACAGAGTCTGAGAGAGGAGAGAGAAACGGAAAGCTGGAGGACAGAGAGGGGAGAGAGAAAAAAAAAAAAAAAAAAAAAATTGTTTTATTCCTAATCTCAAGCCATTTGAATCCGACGGTGTAGATCGAGAGCTCGTTGGTGCGAGCGCTAGCATTACTCTATATAAAATGGATTAGATATGTATGTTTAAAAATTAGAGTTTTTAAAAGGGTACGTAATTAAGAATAATATTTAAAAAAAATTCTATACTGACCGTTGATATGAATTAATAATAAATAAATTATTTTTAATTATTAAATTTACTACCTATCAAATTATAAATCGTTACTAACGCGGACTTAAATATTTTTCTACGAGGCATTGTCCCCTTTTTAAATTATTAACATGGGAAGAAGTGCTACTATGACAACAGAAGAGTGATGAGGTCACGCCAGGCAATAAATACACCTCCAAAATTACAAATGTATCCCCCACTCACATGCTTCATTTGAATCACTCTCTCTTTATTGTGAATATATATTATTTGAACATAAGCAAACACATAATATTATTATTATTATTTATTTATTTATTTTTGGTATGAAGTGTTCATCATTAACATCACATCATAATTCCCTGTGTAATAATTTCTAAAAGAAAAGAAAAGAAATAATAATTATTTTTGTTTGAATAAGATAGGAAAGAAACAGAAAGAAAAAAAGGATAATAATCAAAGTACTGTCCTACTCTTCCTTTTATAATGCTCCTAAAAAACTTTTTTTCATATATGAGAGTGTTGGAGCCAATAACTAAAAAAACCATTTAAATAGCAACATGATGCCTTTATTTGATCTGTAAACAACAACAAAGAGAATCCAAAGAAAAATCACTGTTCATGATTAATTTTTTATTCTTCAAATATAAGTGAGTCATATATTTTTAATCTAAATTAAATTTTTTATTTATTTTTAAGTTTATCTCAAACAGAGAACAAATCAAGCTCATAACCTTTTTGGAAAATAAGAATAGTACACAAAATTTAAAAATAAATAAAATTGTTAAGTATACATGGTTTAGCTTATGCTATATGTGAAAAAGCTACGGGCATAAGCTAAATCAAGAAGTCAAACGGTACAAATTAAATTAATGCAGATATTGCTATCACAAATGTCTACCGTAGAACCAATTTTTTTTCGTTTGAGTGTTGTTAATGAAGAACATAGGTACTGATATTGACGCCATGGGAGGAGAGAAAGAGAGAGTGATGAGGAGGAAGTTTTATATAATACTAGTATAATAATTGGGACTTGACTGGAATTTTTTTTTTATTTTTTTTATTTGGTATGTTGATTTGTGAAGGTTATTTCTAGTATTATTAAAATATCATTTACTTCTCCATGCTTTTTCTTTCTATCTTCTTAAAATGAAAGGGAAACCAAGTGAGGGATAGGGAGTGATAACTACCCCTCTCTATCCTTTTTTTTCTCTCCCTTTAATCCACCCAAATACACTTTCACTTTATCATTTCTTTTCTTTTCTTTCCCTATCCCTCCAAATCAACCCTACCAAACACACCCAATTGTAGACACGTGAGAAATATAGATACGAGAGTAGCTATTTCATATGCTCTTTGACTTCTACAATGATCTCATTTGTATAGAATTATAAATTGTAATTTCTCAATTTTTTATGTGCAACTGTGAGCAAATCTTAGGGATTAATATGTTCCTCGTGTGTGATGTATGTTATCCTTGATTATCTGTATTTATAGTGTACGTTACCGTTGTTTATCTGCATAGACTGCACGTAACATATTGAGAAATGAAATCTTTCAATATATATATATATATTAAAGAAATGACCTGAATAAAGTATTGTGTTGGATATCTACCCCAACCTAGCGAGTATTTTACAGTATGATTGAGCTCAATGATTGGAATTCTAACTTGTACTACTACTATAATTAGGGGGTAGCAAAATTCAAGAAAATCCTCCAAAAAAAAAATATATAAATAAAATCAAGAAAATCCTCCAAAAAGACTTCAACATAACACAAAATCAGATTGATTTATATAAATTATTAAGTCAAACACTATCAGAATATGATTCATTTAACATGAATTGTATAACTAAAATAAAAAAAAAAAAAAATGTATAATTAGATATGTTCATTACTTGACATAATACACCATCTCTAACAAGCAAAATATTATAAACTATTGTTATTATACCATAGAGTCCTAATATAAGAGGAAGAAAAACTGGCTTCTCCAATATTGACAAATCTAACGTATGTTTTTTTAGTTCTTAAAATAAAAAATGCAAGTTTAGGTTAGTCGACACAAATCTAAGTGTATTACTATATAAAAAGAATTATAAAAAACAAAAAATGATTTTAAGGTTGACTAAAATCGCTCGGCTCACGAAAGAAACAAGCCCAAGAGTAGGCCCAGGCCCAAGTCAAAATTAAATTAAGAGTTAATTGGCTATTAACTCACATAATAAGCCAGAGTTTAATCTAGAAATGAGTGACCAAACCCTCCATCCAAACCTCACTTTTCAACTTCTGGTGATCTCTGTGACTCTCTCTCTCTCACTCACACACGCCTTTTTATTGGTCTTTCTTTGTCTATCCGTGAAGGGTGAAGAAGACCATAACTTTATGCAGTTTTCGATATTAGCGTAAAGCCTTGAAAGTAACTCTCTCGATTCCACAACCTCTCTCTCTAGAAGTCTTTTATTTTATCTCCTCAAATTCTGCAAAGCGATTAACTATGGCCATTTTCATCAATCAAGACGGAAATAGACTACCATGAAGGAAGCGAGTACTGGGTTCATCTCTCTCTCTTAATTTCTTGCGTTTCAGCTTCATTCTTTTGTTTAATTTGATTGGTGATGAGAGAGAGAGAAATTAGAGAGGTTCTGGCTGGATAATGGGAGGAGGTAGGAGCTGGCCGGGAATAGTACCACCACCGATAACGAGCGTAGCTCCAGTGAGTAGTAGTGTGGAGAGAGAAGAGCATTGGAGGCAGTTTGATAATTCTGTCAATGCGGTGTCGTTTGGATTTGTTGCCACTGCCATTCTCATTTCTATGTTTCTTGCTATGGCTATCTTTGAGAGGTTTTTGCGGCCGAGATCCACGCCTGCCGGTGCCCGGAATCATGGGGATCTCGACCCACAGATCACCCTCAGTGGGAAGCTCGATTACCCATCTCCCAAAGTATGTCCCCCCCTCTCTCTATGTGTCTGTGTATATATATGTGTGATATATATATATTTCTTTCATCTTCCATTAAATTTCATGTTTTGGGGATATGCAAAAATTTCTAATAAGGAAAGAAAGCAAATCTTTTAGTAATAGTGGAAATGCCCACCATCCTCTCTCTCTCTCTTTCTCTCTCTCTCTCTCTCTCTCTCTCTCTCTCTATATATATATATATATATATATATATATATATATTCATGGTCAGTGTTTTCTTCAAATGCAATGAATACACCAGCTAACTTATTATGCAGTTATTTGCTTTACTTACCAGTGTAATTATCGCTTATTTATGCAATTTGACTGTTTAGTATGTTAATTATGAATGGGTCCTAGACATTACATCTTAAACAAATGTCTTTTTACTGTTGTTTTGATGATCTAATTTTCTGTTACTGATGATGGTGATAAAATATTACAGTAATTTCATAGATCTTCACATTAGTTTCATTACTTTTTTTTTTTCTTTTCTTTTTTTGTAATTTTATAATAAAATTCTACCAAAAGAAGGAACCTTTTTTCTTTGAGTTAATTCTGGCTTTGGTGGATGCAAAGCCAAAGTTAGAAATGTTTCCATCTTTACATGTGATTCTTTGTGGAAATAAAAATAAAGAAGAAGAGACATTTGACAAACGGGCCCATTTCTTCTATTGTATATGGACCATCAGCTTAATAGGCCCTATATCGGATTGCACATGTTGGCATGTCCCCAAATTTTCTTTAATTAGACCAATTTCAACTACCAGGATACCATTTTATTTTGGCATGTCGAGGATTTATCTTTTTCAATTGCTAGCATGGTTTCTAGTAAATTTCCAGCCAAGAATTGGTCCTGTTTCAAATTTTATTTATTTATTTATTTATTTTTGAATCACTGAATTATTAACAACCTATCACGATGTCACTAAAATGTTTCCCTTGAAGTTATAGAAAAAAGAAATCTAATGGGTGTTGAAAGACCTAACTTTTGACATTATTTGCACAAGTTGCTACCCTTAAACTGAAGTTTATTCCTTAGGATTTGATCTGATCATCCCACCAATTCTGTATCCATCCAACTAGTTCTAGTTGGTGATTGCTAATACCATGATGATATATGTCTGTTTTCCTTTTAAACTTTTGCTTATTGAAGGGCGGGCTTACTATTTGTCAGGTCATTAGTTTAATACTCCATAATCTATATGGAGAATGAGTAGGATAGTTTGGAGTTTCTATGGTGACTGCATTATGGAATACTTGCATTATTGTGTTCAAATATTATATTACAACGGCACCGAAACGCAACCTTATTTGATTCATATCTTAGAATAATAATCCCTAAAATTCCAACACTTTCATCATAAAGATACAAATATGGGGTTCGTAATTCCATACCATTTTCCCCACAGAATGATGTGGTGATTTGATGGTTCATGTGCTCAAATAATGGGGTTCATGTGTTCTGGAAGCATAGTGAAACCATTGGGTAAATCAATCTTTTCTAATGTCAAACATGCTCGCTTCATTATGGTCTGGGAAGTCTTTGATTTTATTATTTTATGTTTCCAGCTTTTGATGCACATGCAACTAATTTCAATATTATTGCCTATAGAAATTTTATATATTTATACTTTTATAAATCTATGACATAAGTTAAAGAGACATTAAAATAACGGGTTGTCTGCTTTTGATGGTGTGTTTTGGCTAATGGGGGTCCCTTTTTGTCACCAGCATGTGCTCTTGTCTAAATTACATAAGCAGACCAACTTAACTTATTGCCAAACTTTATCTACTTTAAATAAGCATTAATTTGATGTGTCCCCTGAGAAAAAGATTTAGATTCGCCTTCAAACAATTCCAATCTATTCTTATTCAATAAGGAACCTAGTTTGATTGAATTATCTTGTGCTGTATAATTTCACCTTCATTTATTTATTACTAGTGGAAAATTTCATGATGAATTATTGGAAGTGTCCTCCATTTGGATAGTCAAATTAATATGTGATGGATTAGACATGGGAAATTTTCATACGTACCCATACTAGAGTTGGTTCTGGACCACTAAATACTTCAAACATGTAATGCTTTATATGCTCATAATTGTGGGTCAGATGCATGTCACTTTCTGTTTGCAACCATCATCACCTGCTGTGATAGTTTATTCCAGGAAAGATATTTGTCCCGAGAGCCTTATACGAGGTCAAAAGTTTGTCAATTCTCCCTCCCTTGCATAGTCTATGCTTGGTGTACCCACTCGGCTGCCTTTTTTAATCTCATTTTTCTTGTGTAGATCAGGATCTTTACATAACATGAACTTAAGAATTTGTGGTTCTGCCTGAGTAATGTTTTGCATTGCAACCAGTTAACCTCTAAATGGTTGGCGGTAGACTTTTATTGGAATAAGCCCTTAATTTAAGCAAAATGCTGCAGAACCTACATGAACAGGTATTCCTTTTACCGTTATTTAATAATCCTTAAAGCACAACTAAGATATCAATCCAATTGCATCATTTTATATTTTTATCTTGCATCTTAAACAGTAAGATATAGCCAAATCCTTATGTAACATGTGCAAATCCAATCTGCCTTAGTAATGTTTGGCATTGGAAATATTTAACGTCTAATTGGTTGCAATAGGGTTTAGTTGTAACTTGTAAGAAACCCTTAATTTATGGAAAATGTCATGGAATCTACAGACAGGTATTCCTTTTAGCGTTGCTTTATGCACCTTGAAGCAAAGTTGGTACATCGATCCTTGCATCATCTTATGTATGTATCATGCATCTTATGAATGATCAATTCAAATCTTTATGTCACTTGTTTAGTGGGAAATCCCTCCTGCTCTGGTTTAAAAATGATCTGTGGAAATCATAATCATTTTTAATAGATTGCATCTAATTTTGAAAGTTGAAATCATCTTACCTCCACTTTGTGAAAATGATAGTCATTTGCCGTGTGAGAGAAGGAAAATGATTAACATCACCAAAATGAATTCGTGATACATATAACAAACTACTTTATGAAGGGTCCCACACCTTTTAAAAATTCCCAACTCAATGCTTGCAGCCATTGCCGTTGAGAAGAAGCCGGAAATAATGCCGGCATATATCCTATCCATCACCAAGGACTGAAAACGATGATGAAGCGGTCGGAAAAGTCAACGGCTTCACTATAGAATAGATTATGATACTCTCTCTCTCCTCCCCTATGAGTATTGTCTCTTTCTCTTGATCTGGGCCTTGGCTGCTACTTGCTCAACTCTCAACCTTAGAGACTCCATTAATGTCGTGAAGCAGACAACTCATCACCTGGCGACCAACACTTAACTTCAGTTTGGTATCTACAGTGTAAGCATGGTTGTCTTTTTTGGTGGATAAACACTAGCCGATGTCTTCTCCGAAATTTTTGGCAATAGCAATTAATGCATATGAACTTGAGGATGTTTTTTTGGTGTCACCGGCTGTAGACATTCTACCTACAACAAGAGAGAATATATTGGCAAGAATATATGCAGGGAAATATCCTACATACTGGAGAAACCTTTTTGCTTGCCACATCATTGCCACATGCAATCGACGTTCCTGCCACATTTTAGGGACTCATCTCCTAATATTTGCTTTTTTTCACTATTAAGTTGGTCTTATTGTCTCAGATTTTTTGTTCTTGTTGATGCTGGACTGTTTAGTGCTTTGCCATGAAAGTGCTGCAGTAGTTTCATTTGTATGCAGTCGATACCAATCACAAGACCCACACTATGGTGTCAAGGGGTCTCCATTGATTCATAAAACCAACCCATTCTCTTGTTTGATTTTATTCTGTCCGCAATCTTATACCTAAAACGTCATGTGGTCTGCTGTGATGCCTTTGTTAAATGGATGTGTCATTTGAGGAACTCAAAACCTTTTCCCTTGTAAATATTTAGCAGTTCATTAGTTTGTGTGTAAAACTTGTGTGGTTCTGATCATATTTTCTTGTGATTTCTCGACTCTTTTTTTTATTTTTTATTGGCCCTCCATTTATTTTCTCAAACTAGTTGTTTATTTATCTACTTGTACAATTGCAGATGACAATTTATGCTGGAGGCTTGTCAGTACTGATGCCCGGAGAAGAAATTCCTACCTTCATTGCACATCCAGCTCCTGCACCATGTCCAACCGAGTGCATATCACGACCTCTTCAACAACATAGCACACTTGCCGATCTTTCCTCGAGTTCAAGTTTAAGCTAAACACTGGGCTTCCTAGAAAAGGAAACAAACATTAAAATCGATCAATACACCTGGTTCGTGCACAGCATTCACTGTGTTGATGAAACTTGAGCGATTTCACAACTCGGGAACTAAGGTATCAATGGCAGATATTCCTTTCTTTTACATGCTGCTCTTTGTTACGAATGTTTATTGGACTCATTATTTACAGCAAAGAGACCTTGCCTTACGAGAATTTCTTTGAATTAACATAATCTTTGCTTAATTTTTTTCTCATTAACCATGCTGAAATGTTGATTCATATCATTCTTACTGATTTTGAACAAATATTTTTTTTTGGGAATGGCTCATCTTCAGTATAGTGTTCAGGACCGCTTTATATTGAATTAGTGTGAAAAAATTTCTCTGCCACTCGGATTGATTTCCCAGCTACAGTATCTTTCTGTAACATTTCTTTTTATTTGAAAGTGTGGTAATGTGATAAGTTGAACTGAGCTTAGCTCGGAATGAAGGAAAAATTTGCTTTGATTGATCACTTTCCGTAACCTATTGCCCAAATTCATGGGAGTGGGGGCAATTAGTTAGCTAAAATTGAGTTGACAAACAGAACAAAGTGCAAGCAGATAAAGCTTACCACAAAGAACTTATTTGTATGATTTCCTCTACCTATACCATTGCTGGAAAGCAAGCTACCTTAGAGCTGATCCAGACTTCCAGCTGCTTATTATTGGAGGGCATGGTATTTATTGTTGACATTATTTAGACAATATATTCATTGGCACCGCATTTCTTCTTGTGACCCACCCTTTCCTTGTCTGAATGATTGTTCTTAGGTGGAACCTGTCATTTCCTAGATCCTAAAATCCTTCTCATAAGCAACAACTGTATGGGTAGAAAATGTAGTTGATGCAATAATTTTCGGGAAATTTTACGTGCTTGTTTATTTATTAATCTTATTTTGATTGGTGTTGTAAAATTGCTTATAGTAACTTAAAAGCATACCATATCCTATATACTTGTTAAATTGCCGTGGTATAAAATAAAAAATAAGACAGCAAATGTTCACCCGTGAGATTGAATTGAATGGCCAGTCCATTATCCTTGACAGTCAAATTTGGTACAGGGGAATAGGAACTCAATTTATATATGTTCTCACCCGTCAGAAGATGGTATTACAAAATAAGTAATTGTTATCAAGTATCAACAAATTAACCTTTAGTGTCAATAAAAATAATAATATTCCAAAAACAAAACAAATCATATGAAATTTGGTTTGTTCTTGTGTTGTGGTGTCTCTAGTACCATGGATTAGGAACAATCCAAATGGGTGCTGGTTTAATCTTGTGCAAATCATCTTCATTAATTCGTTCTATGCTCTGATCCTCCAAATCAAACCTGCCATTGTCATGACCTTTGCATATGGGATGGCCATGCATTCGAAGCCAATAATCGTCCGTGAAGTAGATCGAATTTCTTTTACAAAATAGAGAAGTCTTTTTTTTAGATAGTAAAACAGAGTGATTTCCACCCAAAAAAAGCGTGTGATCGCCTAAGGATTCCAATTTCACCCACTTTGTCTGATCAAAATTAAGCTTGTAAACATGAAAATACTTTGTCATGTATGGATACAAATGTATTGGGTTTTCTTCATCACCAACAAGTATTCCTTCAGGAATATATTTGTCAATATACCTCATAATAAGCAGAATATCACCCTTCGATTCCACCATGTAACATCGACTAGTATAAGAAGAAATTGGAGGAACAGACTTCTCAAATTCTAAGGTTTCCCTAGGAAAAGAAGGCTTAATGTCCATCTTTTTTGTAGGGATCAAATTACAAGTGTTGAAATCCCAAATTTCAATTGACCCTGTCTTGGCTAATGCATAAATATAATCTTTGTAGGATATGATATCACAATAGGGTTTATCTGCTTCTGCTTCTTTGAGGGCAGTCCATTCACTGTCTCCGCACTTTGAATATCCAAGCATTGAAGAACCACCATATATTACTACAACCCAATACTTGTTTTTACTGTGAATTGGGTGTGATGACACTACAGCTTTCTCAATATAAGGGATTTTCAACCTTTCGACAACGGCACCGCGAAAAAGAGGAAGTTGAATCCGAACCTCTAAGAATGGACTGAAGATACACGGGGCTGCTTCTTTATGGTCATAAAATATCAGCCACCCATGACATGATCCAATGTAATGAGCATGACCCATGTATTCTGGAATATTGATCAGCCTGCAGACTTTTTTCTGTGTAAAATTGTATAAGCAACTGCTATTTTTATTGCCTTGATCATCATCATCATCACTAGGAAGTATGAGCAAAGGTGGTTGATCAAACAATGGAGTCTCTAGTGATGATATTCGGGCTTCCGCAAGAGAGCACCAAGAATGACAGACTGCTCTGGCACTAAGCAAGTCGGCCACATACAATCGGTTCAGGATTGATTCCCACAAGTCAGTATGAAGTACAGACCAATCTGGTGATGCTGTTTTTCTTCTTTTGGTGGGATGACCCAAATAGGTTTTGTTGGCAATCATTCTCTGTGTCTAGGCTTCGATCGCAACCGAAAAAAAAAAATTGTTTTCTAAGGTTTGAGCATGTCAAAGGTTATGTTTCTTAGAAAACAAACAACTGGTGTAACAATTCCATGTTTTTTGTTGACAAAACTATGTGTGAATATGTATAGAAAGGTAGAGAAGTTCTTGCAAGAATAGGAAACAAAAGAGTTGCCTTATATTTGGAAATTTGTGAAGTTCAAGAAATATTTAATATTTGCCAATGAGTTTGTGCCATGTCACGGATTCCTGTAATCTTGATTGTAATTGTGAAATACGAAATACGAAAGCGAGATTTTTTAATTTTCTTTTCCTTTTTTTCGATGAATAATAGGAAACAGAGACTCCCAATTTGGAAACCTATAAAAATGGGGTGCTTTATCTCTAAGCAACATTAACATGGCCAAATCATCAACCATTAAAATTACTCTCACGTCATATATATATATATATATATATATATATATAAATAAAGACAATTAAATCCTAAAAATTTCTTTTAAAACAAATAAATCCTTTTGATTTTTTTTTTTACTTTAAATTCTAAATCGTGGAATGATTTAATTTTTCATTTATACCCTTACTAATATGAAGTTAAATTTTGCAATTATAAATTGAAAATTTGATATATAATTTAATTTTAAATTTTTTTTTGTAAATTAATGAATATAGCATTATGAGTTTAAATAGTAATTAAATAAATTTAAATTTAATTAAAAATCTTGTGCATAATTCAACAAGGACTAATGCACAAAAATTAAAGTAGAAATTGGTGTTAGTTTAGGAAAGGTATCGGCTCTTATCTGGCATTCGTACATAAATACTATTTCAAAACCAAATTAGTTGTTGATATAACGGACCTCTATATATATTCTCATCCGTCAACTCTCACTGCTTCGATTCTCATTCTACTCTCTTAGTTTTTTCTGTTGGTGTTGGGTGACTTATGTAGAGGAAAAGAATGGAAAGGTATCAGTTCTCTCATGTTTTAGTTATATATTTGTGTATATATATATATATACGAGTGCATATATTATTAATGTATAGTTTATAGACAACGTTGTGACTCTATATAAATGAACGCCATGCAAACGTTTTCTTTTTAGTATTTGGATTCGATGCATATCTGTGTTGTGAGGCATATAGTTTTAAGTTTATGAACCGACTTTATGATTCTTGACTCAAAAATTCATAATAAATATATCAATAAATAGATAAATCGGTAATTTGTGTTACAATAATAAATAAATAAATCGGTAATCGGATTTAAAATGATTTCTAATTAGATTACCTTTTATACTCAAGATTCTTGACTCAAGAATCTTGAGTATTAGGTTTCTCACTTACAATTTTCCGACTCAGTTGAACTGTCCGGCCTAATTTTTCTTCTCGTCTTTCCCCTCCTAACACTGATCTACTTAAATCCTGTGCGCTTTGAAGTAACAAAGAAGGGAGATATATCATTATATCATTATATATCTATATATCTATCCACAAGCAGGACAAACATTCCTCTTAGACAGAACGTTCGCTAAAGGAGGCTTCTACTTATATCTACGAAATTGATTGCTTTGATTCAACTTTGAGTGTTACAAACAAAAACTTACCCATTTTGAAAAGGCAAAAAAAAAAAATGTGTAATAAACAAAAAAAAGTAAGGGAAGAAGAAGTATCCTTTACTGTCAAAGTATGGTGAGGTTTCATAATTAAGGAAACAATTTTGTCACCAGTTCCAATTAATTAAGAAACTTGATATGGTAATTAATTAGGTGATATATATAATATATGGTATTGATAATCAATAAATGGATATTCTGCATATTGTTGTTCCATCCAGGTTTATGTAAAATCTCAGGGCTTAAGCAGATTTGATTTCCACGAACCTCAAAACACAAAACTTTGAGAGTGACTTATTTAATATTCTAAGCACTTCAATTTTATCTCCTATATATATATTTTGTTAAGTAGCCAACACTTCTTTTGTGACCCCAGCTTCTATCATCATCATGACATTGATCAATCAGTGTCAAACCAGCCTCACCTCTTCATAATTAATTATCTACCGGAAGATGTATGTTATTAATTAGTTTCTCTTCTTACTCTACTACTTTTAAATTATCTTTTATCTAATTTGCTTAATTTAGATTCTGAATATAAAATACTTACAATACTCCTTGGAAATCGGTGTGAAGACCAAATCAATCCAATGGTGATGTTTTTCTGTAACATGTTATAATATTAATTTGTACAAAATATTAAACACAAATCATAATCACAAAAAATTAAATTTTATTATTTCCGTATGTCTATAATGTATAAAAAAAAATTTATTTCCGTATGTCTATAATGTATAAATAAATATAAATACTTCCATCATGACAGTAAACTTCGAAGGATCAAGTCAACATAGAGATGCCGTGGAATGAACTACAATAGCCAAAGCCTAATAAATATAAATACTTCCATCATGACAGTAAACTTCGAAGGATCAAGTCAACATAGAGATGCCGTGGAATGAACTACAATAGCCAAAGCCTAGTGTAGAAATCAGCATCTCTCTCTCTCTCAACCTTTTTGCACACATAAAATTTTGCAATTGTTGTTTCATAAATATACATAATTCATGAAAAATATACCACTTTATAAAGGCAGAGGACTAGTTTCTATTGCAACCTTAATTCCACTTTTAATCAAAATAGAAAGAAATAATTAATTACCAAAAAGGTAATAATAAATTTGACCAAATCCTATAATATCAGTCTAGATATATTTGGAAAAATGATTCTTGCGCCGAATAGTTGCAGTGAATTGCTAGACCTATTCTTTTAATTGGTCAATTATGCAACCATTTAATAAAAATTATTCGGTTAGGTAATTCACTGCAAGTGTCCGGTGTGACCATCACTACTCATTACTACCAATTAAAATAGAGTAGTGATACTTACACCGTAGTGAAGTGTCTAACCGAATAATTTTTAATTGGATATTTATATCAAATACAAATAAGTGATAGGCTCTATTTCTTTATTTATTGCATAATTGACCAATTAAAAAAATAGGTTTAGCAATTTAATGCAACAATTATTTTCTATTAAAATATATCATATGTCCAAATCATGTGCTGTGAAATAATAAAATTCTCACATTTTCCCATTGACTCATGATAATTTTATGTTTGATAAAAGAGTGTTGCAAATTTAAAAAATATAAGGACGAGTTAAATCTAAAATTGAAAGGACTCGGAACAATTGATCACGTGAACTTTTCATTTTTCTTTTTTCTACAGGTAGATTATTGGTTATTTTGTTTTGCTAAATAATGTACACTTTCTAATATATATATAAATGAGAAGGAAATTTATAAGTAAAAATTGTGATACTGTTTGAAGGCTTATTCCACGAGCCATTTCAATGGAATACGTAGATCCTCTCTATGAAGAAGCTCGTTTCAAAATCAAACCTCTTGCTGGGGTTTGAGAAGAAGGTATAGGAAAATGGAAAAACGCCATTGGTTAAATCAGCTGCTATACTTGAAACTTTGAAATTGGATATACAACTGGAACATATTATGATTAAACATTATTACAGATCAGATCAGATCAGACCAGACCAGCTCAATCTCCTCTGATTCTGACAACAAACCTACTAGACTGGGTAAGATCCGAAACACAATCTTATCTTCCCCGCCCCCCAAAACCATTATATAATCTGAAAAAATTTACTTCAGATATATGCTGAAGCTCATTAGCTTTGAAGTTGCTAAAAAATTCCCAAACATTACAACAAAATGATGTGTTTATGGTATTAAATAACACGATCAAACTTCCATCAAAGAGTCACAACACTATAATGAAGATGCAGCACGATCTGATTCTATCATGGATTTGATGTAGAATTCACCTGCCTTGTAGGAGGACCTGACCATGGGACCCGATGCCACATACCGAAATCCCTGCCACATTTCATGCAGAAATTAATTTCTTAAAAATATCCAAACCATACACGTAAGAAAACTAAACTAAGCACTCCCATGCATGTTTCCATCTTACTGAGATGGACCATGTTATTCTACCATAGTCCATAGATATCACCCTATACATGTTCAAGGGGTACATATAATGTTGTATGTTAAAAAAGTTGTATGTGAGATACTTCATAAGTGTGTTACAGACATCACGTGAGAATATAAGAAACCATAGATATATGTGCTACACGAATCACTCATCTGGTGTTTGTAGTAAGTGGAGGATTGAGTGGGGAGATACAATTGGTCCATGGGCATACTTGAAATTAAATAAATTATTCAACTAAACATTATTACTAGCAATTTAATGTAGATATAACATGATGGTTAATCTACAATGCAGTTGATCAATGACATCACTAAGAAATTGTTAGAGTGTATAATTCAAATTAGGATATACTCAATTGCCTCGTTTACTCGAAAAGAATAATGGAAGAAAGAGAGGAAAAAAAAGGAAGTGGGGAAATAGGACACTGTTAAACTAGCCAGCACATATTCTACCAGTAGAGACAAGAAATACTGGTCATACCAATTCACAAATATAACTCAATAGCTCAAATTACTATCCCCATATTACCCTTTACCTCATAGAAAATATTGCATGCAAAGAGCAATTTAACCAGATACAAAAAAACAAAAATTTTGAAATAATAGGGTTGGAGCAAACCATTTCCATGCCAAGAGTTCGGTAATTGTCAAAAGCCTCGGGGGTTATGTACTCAGATACTGGCATATGTCGCTTTGATGGTCTCATATACTGACCAAAAGTCATCACATCAACACCAGCTTCCCTCACCTTCTCCATTGTTCTCACCACTTGCTCAGGTGTTTCCCCACACCCCAACATTACTGAAGTCTTAGTAAGTGTACCAGCAGGAGCATAGCCCTTAGCCATCATTAAAACATCTAAGGATTGCTTAAAATTAGCACGGCGATCTCGAACTGCACTCTGAAGCTCTTCAACTGTTTCAATGTTATGAGCAAGGACATCTAATCCTGATTTTGCAACTTTCTCTACACACCCAGGGTCCCCTCGAAAATCAGGAACTGATAATCAAAATAACACAAGAAAAATTAACAAAAAAGAAGTGAGATGCATTCAGAAATCTAGAGATGCATTTGTGCATTAGAATTCCTTCCTGTTATGCCTATTTCAATATGATGTGGCACAATAATATCTGCATGGATTTCTCAACAATGCATTCCAAGTCTTGATGAGTTCAACGTCAGTTGCATAACATGGTCAAGATGTCCTTTCGTATATACTTACTTTATTGTTATTAACTTATTATGAGCTTCACTAATTTTTTTTATTTTTAAATACAAAGGTACAACAAAAACTTCAGCAGCTTGAGTAGGAAAAGAACCAGACCACCAACCAGATGATCAAATGCAACCAATCTAGGGGCTTTCCTAAGTCCTAACCCCTCCGCCACGGATTTCTGAATATTTCCCAAAAGAACACTAAAAATTCAATAAATTTAGTAATTGTTGTATCAAACTGTCGATCAAGCCCTTGCTTTTGAGGCAAAGGCTTCACCAGTGAAATTAGTTACAAGTTTCAGCATATGTAGCATGTTTAAAATTGTCTCAAACAGCCCACATTTAGGGTGGACTTCAGTTAAAATTTTTGCCACTTTTTAGATCCGGTTGCTCCAACTTCCAACATGCAGAATCCCATCAATTGCATCAATTGATTCACATACTTCAAGAATACAATAACTCATACCTAAGGCTTCTATCAGCATATTTGGCTTTAACGTCTTCAACTTCTGCACTGTCTCAGCAAAATGACCACTTCCTTGGTCAGGTAAATCATCACGGTCAACGCTAGTAATCACCACATAATCCAAACCCCAAGATGCAATTGCCTCAGCCACATTGGACGGTTCATTTGGATCAGGAGGAGGAGGAGTACGTGATGTCTTCACATTGCAGAATCTGAAATTCAATATTAACATAACCAATGAAATGACCATATGCACAATGAATATGAAGGTTCTAACCAAATCAATATAGCGCCTACCATGGTTGGAACAGCTCCAAGTGTAGATGTATGAAAATCTAAAGTTAAGCACAAACATCTCCAATATAGGGAGCAGAACTCCAATTATATTCTTAGAGCAACAAAAGTAAGCAAATGATGACTTGGAAAACTCTGAATATAGACATATGAAAAGCTAATATGTCACATATGATTCTGCAATAGGTATACAGCATTCGTGTAAGCAAAGCAATAACATCTGTGCAGAACTAATCTACCACCCCCACCCAACACAACACAACACAACATATGATAAGTCATCTGTAGAATTCCTAGGACAAAGGAAATACTTCTATTTTGGTACAATAAGCATGCACATCACTGACATGGATAACATAGAGTCAGAGCCGGTGAGAATGAGAATGCATTGAAATGAAGTTGACCAGGTAAAAAAAAAAAAAACTAACTAAAAAAACAGAGGGAATGAGTTTACCTCACTTATTATTATTCTTGATCATCTAATAAGCAGGCCCTATGTACATTTTAGATGCATCAGTCTTAAGTAAATACACTTTTTCCACATAATAAGACACAATGAAAATTTGTGATGCATAGTTTAGAATTCACAATAAAATACACCAATAGGTTTCCATTGTTACATCCCTCAACACAAAGTTTGTAGATTTTTCTTTTTATTTGCATAGACATGGACATGAATTACGGATACGACACAAAACAACAAATTGGGACAATGAATTGTGAAAAGATAGGGCATGCACACAAGAAGGACACCGCATGTATACTTGGGCACGCATCACTTTGATGCCTCCTCTCCTCCTACCACTGCCCTAACAAATCTTCATTTCTTACTTCTGCTTTCAAATATTGTCTATCTTTTAATTGGAAATTTTGGAACTTATATATGAGCCCTTACTTTGCTTTTCCTTTCAAATTATCTTGTAACTAGGGTAAAAGAAAGCCAAATCGCAGCTTTCTGTGTTGCTAGCCGTAGACTGGGGAGTTTATATGAAGTGTCGACCATATGTCTGAAATTATAATTTTATATATATATATATATATATAATTTTACGATCCACCTCAAAGATGTGTAGAACACATTTTAAGAAAATTAATTGGGCACCCTTTTCTCTACTATGATTTTTAACAAAATGACTACCCAGAGCAATTTGTCAAGCACTTATAAAAAATAAATTAAATTCGATGTCAAGTATGAGATCATAAATTGTTGACAATAATTATTAGTCCCTAATTACTATTGCCTTGTATAGAGCACAAGTATGTCTAGTTGCTCATGTCTACCAATCTGATTTGCAAATGAAATGTCATAATAAACCTAACTATGGGTTCCTTCTAATAGTATCTGATCTAAAATGAAGATTGTACGGTTTGTACTGCCAACCTCAACTTTCTCATCCTATTATAATCCCCACACTAACCCTAAATAACATAAATTAAAATGATATTTTGTTATTTACTCACCAAAAACAAATCTTTCCGCAAAATTTATTCATTCATGCCAGCAATTGATCTTTATCAATATTCATTGCCATTAAAAAATGCAAAGAAATTGAAATGAGAATCAGATTAAAAATATAATATGAACTTAATTGAATGGCTCACCTGCAACCTCTGGTACAAGTATCTCCAAGAATCATAATAGTGGCCGTGGCCGTCCCGGTTTCGCCACCGGACCAACATTCACCCAAATTAGGGCATCGAGCCTCTTCGCAGACGGTGTGGAGCTTCAATTCTCTCAACTTCTTCTTGATCTGCGTGTACTTTTCTCCTCCGGGGATGGACTCCTTCATCCATTTGGGCTTCGGGAGGGGTTTCTTCTTCGTGCCAACCTCGACCGAGTACTCGTCTTTGGATTGGAGGCGAATGAAGTCGGTGAGCGTCGGAGATTCGTCGGCGAGGCGGTGTCGAAGATCCTCTAGGGTTTGAGGGTAGGGCGATTTGGAGGATTCAGTGGAGGGAGGTGATGATGGTGATGAAGAGAAAGATTGAAGAGAGAGATGGTTGTAGAGAGAGAGAAGAGAGGGCTGATGGCAGAGTAGATTGGTGAATTGGTTGGTGGATTTGAGGGATCGAGCGAGGGATGTAACGCGACAATGCATTCTCTCTCTCCTCTCTTTATTTCTCCAAAACAGCAGATGCATATAGAGAGAGAGAAACTCAGCGAATTGGGGTTTCCTGATAATCCACCTCTCTCTCTCCCCCGATTGTTGGTTGATTATGGTTGGCTCGGAAGAACCGTGGCCTTGTGCATACGAGAGAAGAGGAACAAGAATGCTAGTCCCAAGCGCGATCGTACACGCGCTCACCACGTTCCAGTCGCATATAGAAATGTAAGAATGTCCGCGCTTCGCCAACGAAAAGCGCGTGAAGCCGCTACCATTTCTTTATGGACGATATGTGCTTTCTTAAGGCCGCCACCTTAGATTAATGCATGTACGAAGTAGTATTTAGATTAATTTGACCCCAAAAAAAGTTGAGTTACTCCATGTAGTATTAGTAGTTATTGCAAGTGACTAGTTGGAGTTGTTGAGTTTTTCACGTTGTTCCAGAGTCGATGTTCGAGTATTGTGATTTTGTGCTAAAGTTAATGAACAATGAATGAGTGGTATGTGATAAAAAATTAAAAATTAGTATTGACACGTTTAGGTGGTGGGATTATAATTGCGAGTATAATGCAATAATTGTATAAGGTGATAGACCAAAAAAAAAATTGTATGAGAGTAATGGTTTTTAACAATAAGAATATATAACGAAATATTATCAAAATTGAATGCAAGTATTTTTAAGATTTCAATTAAAATTATAAATAAATTTATTTTTAGTAGGGACGACTGCCGAACTGAGCCCTCTGGTCCTAATTGTATGAAATTATAGCCTTATTGGTGGAGTGTGGATTTAGTACAAAACTAAGTGCATGGCTTACTAGCAGCCCAAAACCAGGGAACCTCCCCATTTCACATTTTCCATTTCCCTCGACCTCCTACCATAAATATGAAAGTTGATGTTGCACCTTTAATTAAATAGTTTGGTACAAAACTGATATTTCATTGTAGAATTTTATTTATTTTGCAAAGTAGAATTTTAATCCAAAGTAGTAGTTATTTAATCCAAAGTAGTAGTAGAATTTTATTTATTTTGCAATCGATTATACTTTGATTCTGATGTGTCTACTATTTAATCCAAAGTAGTAGTTATAATGAACTCCATCATACATAGAGCACTGGGACAAGTATTTTTTTTTTTATTTCAAAAAAAAAAAAAAAAAAAAAAAAAAAAAAAAAAAAAAAAAAACCGTCCCTTCTATTTAGATATAGGGATTATTACATATAAATGGGGTTAGGGTACCATATTTACTAAAAAGTTGAGTCAAAATCACATAGTTTCTTTAAAATGAGTTTGACCCAAAAGCTGAGGTGGCACATGAAAAAATACTGTTTCATATTTCTGTTGCCTAAAATACCCTTCTTCCTATTTTATGTGTTGCCTAAAATGCCCTTTTTTACACTTATCTAATTTCAAGCCCTAATGCCTCTTTCATATTCCATTCGTGCCGCCCTCTCTCTCCCCCCTTTTTTGTAAACAGCGATCAACAAACCCCTAACCATTTCCGTGCCTTTCGTGTAACGAAGAAGATGATGTACAGTGAACAGCGACCGGCGACCGACGATCAATGAGCAGCGACCAGAGGGGAGCGACAGCCAGCGACCAGTTGTTCAGTTCTACCAGGATGAAGGTACCTTTTCATTCTTGAATGCTTTCTGTTCATCTTGTTCCTTTTGTTGCTTAACAAAATCATGAAAAATGTGTCATCCTTAGCAGGATTTTTGCTGATTTGGGTTCTAACTATTTTTTATTTTTTATTTTTTAATTTCTGTGAAAAGAGAAGAATTTTTTTACTAGAAGGTGTTTAAAGTTCACACCCAATTTTTCTTGCCTTCTTTTAGTTTCTACCCGATTCATCACCAACTGTTTGGCACTGAATAGTCATTTTCTCTCTGGTTAGAATATAGTCTTTGGTGTGTTCATGCCTATTAATTGTTAAATATTCATACATTTTTTAAAAAATTAAATCTTTATTCATTCTACTATGTTCCCTAATTTTTTTCTCTAGTATGGATGCTAAAAAAATTTAACATTTTTTTTTAGGGGAAAAATTAGATTTTTGTGACCAAACTTGAACAAAATTGCTCTAAATTATGTATACAAATATTTTTAGATTATAATGGAATCGGTGATATTTGAGAAAAAATGTAACGAAAATGTCCAAATTATGTACACAAATAAATATAAATGACCAAAATATACACATTGCCTCACTCAAGCAGTGTTACTGTCGATCCCTAATGTCCTAGTCGTGTCATCTAACCTACCTTGCCTAATAATAAGTTTATCAATCGACCAGAACGCATGAGTGCAGGATCCAAAATATCAGCTCTATTTGTTACCTGCAGTTCATGAGATTACGAAATACTGCATTACTAACTTGGATAATAATTTAAGTTAACTGAAATTTTATTAGTGAAGTAGTTATTTGTTGGTGGCATCTGAAGCATGGCTCATAGACACGGGCACAGATGAGTCTGCTATGACTCAGCCGGTGAGGAAAACTATAATCTGAAGACACTCAAAATGTAGAAACCATAGCCCAGAATTATATTTGTCCCTTCAACAAAGTAAGAAGTTCTGAAGATACAATCTCCATGCCAAAAATATGGGGACAAAATAAAACTCTGCTAATTATTGAATTCAAAACCTTCTAAATGCTCACAATTGCCTGAACGTGTGACCAGAGAACTAAAAGTGTGTTTAATTAAAGGCAAACATAAAAACCTTTATCCGTTCATCACTACTAAATCCATCAAGCTGATTGATTAACTCCAACATTGTCTGTTGGACCTCTCTATCTCCACTGACTTCACTGCCTTGAAAGAAACAATTTACAATCAATTAGTCACATTATGACATAACTTCTTAAGTATTCAATCCAAAATCCATTACACCAAGATTTAGAAAATTGCCTAAGGCAGATTAGAAAATTACACATAAAATAGAGATATGGCATACCTGTCAAACCGCTTTGTGCCTATAACATCAATTTAATCTATAAAAATAATGCAAGGAGATTTCTCCTTCGCAAGCTAAAAAACATCACGAACAAGTTTTGTTGCATCCCCAATGAACATCTATGAATAGTACAAGTATGATTTACTACTTCAATTTTAAAAAATAAATCCTAATAAACACTTAAATAAATCAACCAAGAGATATTCTTTGTTATGGATGTCAAAAAAGTATAGGAAATTTATTTTTATAATTCTAAATAATGTTCTTGTTAATTTTACCAACTGGAAAAGTGAGTTCCATATAACTACTCAAGTCATTTACACAAATGTCATCTCCTTAGTTTAAGACTAGATACAGTTTAGCAGATTTTTTTTGTTTACGAGTCCAAACGTCTTTTAGGATTCAAACCAAAAGAGTAAATTTCCATTATAAAAGCAACAAACGGAAACAAGAAACAATATATCCATTTCCTGATGTACCAAAAAAGATAAAAAGGGAAAGATCAAGTACAGGAATATTTGATGCAAATTCATCAAAAGCAATCAACATCCTAAACTAAAAAAAAAACATATATTTCGAAAACTGAATTGACAGACTTTTCAGGAAGGGAAAACAAAAGTCTTTGAAATCTCCAAAGTTAAATATGATAGGGATTATTACATATAAATGGGGTTAGGACACCATATTTACTAAGAGGCTGAGTCAAAGTCTCATAGTTTACCTAAAATGAGTTTGACCCAAAAGCTGAGGTGGCACATGGATTTCAGCAAACTCAACAAGAAGATTATGTTCCAACCACATAACTTACAACTTCAAAGACAACAAGAGCTGGACAAAAAAAAGTATGCCAAAAACTTCAAAGACAAATTAAAGTTTTTTATCTTTATGTTGTCTTTGAAGTTTTTGGCATCCTTTTTTTTGTCCACCTCTTATTGACACACATATATTATTTTTCCATTAGTGGACAAATTAAAGTTTTTGATCTTTATGTTGTCTTTGAAGTTTTTGGCATCCTTTTTTTTGTCCACCTCTTATTGTCTTTGAAGTTGTAAGTTATGTGGTTGGAACATAATCTTTTTGTTGAGTTTGCTGAAATCCATGTGCCACCTCAGCTTTTGGGTCAAACTCATTTTAGGCAAACTATGGGACTTTGACTCAGCCTCTTAGTAAATATGGTGCCCTAACCCCATTTATATGTAATAATCCCTATCATATTTAACTTTGGAGATTCCAAAGACTTTTGTTTTCCCTTCCTGAAAATCCAGTCAATTCAGTTTTCGAAACATATGTTTTTTTTTTTTAGTTTAGGATTTTGATTGCTTTTGATGAATTTGCATCAAGTATTCCTGTACTTGATCTTTCCCTTTTTATCTTTTTTGGTACATCATGAAATGGATATATTGTTTCTTGTTTCTGTTTGTTGCTTGTATAATGGAAATTTACTCTTTTGGTTTGGATCTTAAGAGACGTTTGGACTCGTAAACAAAAAAATTCTGCTAAAGTGTATCTGGTCTTAAACTAAGGAGATGACATTTGTGTAAATGACTTGAGTAATTACATGGAACTTACTTTTCCAGTTGGTAAAATTGACAAGAACATTATTCAGAATTATAAAAATAAATTTCCTATACTTTTTTGACATCCATAACAAAGAATATCTCTTGGTTGATTTATTTAAGTGTTTATTAGGATTTATTTTTTACAAATGAAGTAGTAAATCATACTTGTACGGTTCATTGATGTTCATTGGGGATGGAGCAAAACTTGTTCGTGATGTTTTTCAGCTTGCGAAGGAGAAATCTCCTTGCATTATTTTTGTAGATGAAATTGATGCTATAGGCACAAAGCGGTTTGACAGGTATGCCATATCTCTATTTTATGTGTAATTTTCTAATCTGCCTTGACAATTTTCTGAATCTTGATGTAATGGATTTTAGATTGAATACTGAAGATGCAAGAAATTCATCATTTCTTTCTCTCTCTAGAATTCTTACATTTCAACCAAAAAATATCTCCTCCTTTGTTCTATCCATTACTTCTCCTATTTATAGATACTTACAAATATTGATGGACTGCTAGATCTAGGCCCGTTCCTCTGTGAGTTTTGGTCATCTTTGATGGGCTATTCGCGTTCGGCCCATATGACAGTGTCTTTCTATGGGCC